ATAACTTTTCAGTAAATCAAACTTCCTCCTGGAAACAACAACCTAGAGAAATAACCTCATGAGAAGCTATATACCCACATGTAGATAATTACTAAATATGGAAAAGTCTAGACTTTGGCATGATTTAGCTACGTTGTTTGGAATCCTAATATTACAAAAATCGATGAGTCGGTTAAGGTTATCTTAAATAGTATCATTCACGATTGACAGTCCTGGGGAAAAAGTTTGATACGAATCAAATCAAACAGTTTACTGGTCAGGAATCAAAAAGGGAAACAAACAAGCCACGACTTGTTAGATTTGTATTCTGCTGCCCCTGTTTCGTCCTGTTTAGGACTCGTCCGCTGTGTATATCTGAATCTTCAAGCAATATTGAGGCATGCGCACAGCAGCCCATACTCCGACAAGGATCGATCAATTCGATCCGGTATAACAACGGGAAATTATAAGTAGCAATAAATACTTTCCTTCTCTTGGTAATTCTTAGTGTTTTTATTATCTGATAATATTAATATTACTCTTTATTCACAAATGTACACACACAACCTCGAGAAATGAAGGATGAAATATAGTGTATATTATAATATAAAGCCAGAATTTTAATGAAAGGCGAGACTGACATTAAATTTAATCATACCAGGACTAACCATCAGGAGCTTTTACAAACAGATAAACACAGACACACAAAAGAGCAAGAAGGCATTTTCAAGAAAGATTCGAAGAGAGTTAATAAGATCAAAGAGAACGGGAGAAGACAGACAAGGAACAAAATGAATTAATGCCTGCGATAAACACATACACACAAATACACAATCAGGAAAGTAAATAAACAAGTAATCAAAGGAACTCGAGAGACGAGAAATTGGGTCTGTAAAATTTTACCAAAGGAGAGAATAAGGAGGTCATGAAGATATTACTACACTCAAACCAATTTATTTCTCCCCAAAAACACTCAAACCTTATCATTTATAAAGGGGAAATGACGTAATATTTTGAGTTGCATAAGTTAGTCAGAGCATGACCACTTCGAGTTCCACTTATCATAATGGCATGTGATTGTAAAAACCAAAATCAATTACGCAATGAGTATAAGAAATGAAATTCCCTAATAAGATACTGGCTACTATGATGAAAATGCAACATACTGAAAGCCCTAAATTGGAAATTTCTAGCTTTCTGCTTTGTATGGTATTGACTCCATTAAGCGACTTAAAATGAAGGCAATCGGTTGAATGCAAAGACAGTCTATTCATAAGTCATCAGTCAAAACAATGCGTCCTACCGCTTGTAGCTCATCAAGACGTTCGAATCAGTGTGCGTCGTTTGATTTACTAACTATTATGATTCGATAAAACACAGTTTAACATTCAACTTTGACGGGAAAACCATCGATATGTGAAGTCTGTGAATAGCTCCTCCTTTGTACAGGCTTTACATTGATGAAAAAAAATACAGAAAATATTTTCAGGCAGATTAAAGCAAGTTCCACGTGAATCACAGTCACTACGAAACCGGTGAGTTTCATTGTACAAACAGATAGTAAAGGAACAACTGCAATTACATCAATAATATATTAAACTGCACTACATAGCTGACTAGACGGAAATCTTCTGATAATCATCTCAAGCTTTATGATAAACAAAATTTGAGCAGTAAACTCTATGATCAAAAGATAAGCTATTTTAATTGCATAATCCAACTTTGTGCAATCATTCCAGAGTTTGTTAATAATTAGAATAGGATGAAATTACTCTAACATAGAAATAGGTTACCATCCTCATTCTTGGGTAGAGGTTTCACACTACCATCAATAGACCAGTGAAAATACGCATAATAGTTATCGTTTCCTACTTCAATAGCAATAACAGTCAGTCAAGCCAATAAGAAATTTGCCAAAAGAGAGCAATGCCTATTGATGCCAACAGAAACAGAAAAATATGATAAAGTGAAACACGTGTATGCTCAATCATTAACTAATTAATTAATAGTAAAAGAAAATGTGTCTGTATATAGTAATGCTATCAGGATAGAACCAGTAATTGATTCAGGATAGTCTCAGGGTTCTGATGAAGTACAAATTCCTCCATACAACTCATACCAAACGAAAGTGAACTTCACAAACCGACTGTTTCTTTTCGGACATTATCTACCTTTCTAGCTTTCATCATCGCACGTCGGAGTAGGGACAGCACAGTATGTGTAACTTACAGCATCAGATGATGTGGATGTTTTACTGTCATCGATCGAAATAACCACCAACAGACACAAAAACAGCAAAATTATGTGTAGTGACAGCCTAATAATCAGTCATCATAGATATAATTCAAACCCGTAAAACATATTTGCTGACGTTAATATTCATAATGGGTGATGATTGAAGGTGAAATGAAAATCTGAGTCACAGGGATATTCGAACCAGAGATTTCCGGGTTAGCGGTCCAGTGCTCTACTTAGTTACGAGACCTCGCTCCTGACCAGATCTTAATTGCACTTCGATCATCAAGGGTTCTACCCGATTATCATGTGAATTTGTTACGCATTACTATCTCGTCATCGCATTCACATTGGCTGCCCAGGCAAGACTTCTTATCCCAATCCAATCCAGCTATCATCATTGCATGTCGGCGTAGTTAGATCTCATTATATGCAACTTACAACAACATCTGATGTAGGCCTTTTACTGTTATCTATCGAAAGAATCGCTAGCGACCACAAAAACAGCAAAACTATGTGTAGTAACAGTTAAATAATCAATCCTCATAGATATTATTCAAACCCCATAAAGCATATCTGCTGTCGTTATATTGATGATTGACATACCAGTAAATTATATATATATATATATATATATATATATATATATATATATATATATATATATAGCAAAAAAAACCGAAATTAGGTAAATTCATGAGTGGTGAATAATTAAAGTCTTGACCAGATGGAAGCAGATGAACACATACAGGAGCACGAATCACAATTGAAAGATAGAGGAAACAAACATCATGACTAACATCAATAACACTTCATTCAGTCATCGCAACATCATCAGCCTAATCATCACAATGATGATGATGGCTATTGGTAACACAGTGGAGAAGAGGATGAGAAGCATGAAAACTACAGTATTGCAGTGGGGGAGAAACAAAAATAAGGATTGATGATTGGATGAATAAAAAGCACGAAAAACACGTCATATATTCTTTCTTAAAACACTACCAAATACCTATAGTTTGAAATGAACAAACAAGCTAGTCTATTTTCCAAAAACTTCATCACTGACAAGTGAGATACATCAATGCTAGGAAAGGTGGAGTGTATATATATAATGATGTGTGAGTCAGAGATGATTAAAAATATAAACATCAGATTGGTGAAACGCAACACTTCAGGTAGACTGTAAAATGATATGAGATGGAAAGACGGGAAGAATGCAAAAATTATTTCTCTTATCCAAAATTTTCATTCAGAAAGGTGATCTACTGCATTAGTTTCAATAAGATTACGAGATCATGAACTAACAATATGAATAATTACGGCACAAAAGAAGATAAAACGAGAAAAGAAAAATGTGAAATAGAAGTGTATGACTTAAGACAAAAAAGGCAATTTAAAGAATATTACCCGTGAATCATCAAGGGAAAAGAAACTTCACCCCTCTAGAATCAGATTTGAGGGATCACAAGTAAGATGTGTTTTCAAATAAATGATAAGCAAATTTCTCCCACTTCTGGTGCATGCCAAAAGATATATTCTTCCTGATATCTACGATTACAACTAAGTTAATGGCTAAATATCAGGTAGGCAACTACCTTGATTATTTTACAACAACAATATAGCGCAACTGAGACTATATGTACCGAATGAAAAATCACATCCACAGGGTAAAGAATAATGATCCCATCCATATTCAAACTTTCATTATGCTAACCACTACAACAAAGCTGTAGATCTTCTTAATCGCTGCTTTAAGCAGGGAAAAAGCAATAAACCACCAGTTTTAGGGAAATGTTATGTTGTCAGTTAAAAAGGTGACGATAAGCTTCTTTTCGAGTAACTACGAAGTAGTCAACCACAGTATATCTAATTCTGAAATAATCCCTAATCAACAAGGTTATTCTCTTATTACATTGATATCTGATCACTATTTTAGTTGTAACCAGAATGACACAATGTGAAAAGCTGTCATAATTTGCATCCTCAATGTAATACTTAAACCTGCGGAGCTGTGGCTTAATGGTTCACGGAGATGACCATCAACCACTGGGTCATGGGTTCTAACCTTGCTCCACCTATCAAGGTTTGGGCAGCTAGGTAGTATCACTAGCCTTCTTCGATACTTAAACCTAGCAACTGTCAAAGTAAACAACACTATAAGGTATCTAGTATCGAAAGGAAAAAGCCTTAATGTACGACAAACTAAAGTATAAGAGCACTTTATGTAGTATTAGACAGTTAGTGTGAGATATGTAAAGAAATGTCCAGTTGTCGAATGAAAAGCACATTATTTTCAGCTCAATACGACTAGTTTTTTAAATGCACTATTGACCTTCTTTAGCCATTAGCGTGTTCAACAAGCAGTAAGAGTTAATGTGATATGCAAACATTATAGTCAATAAAAGTAAGACAGCTTTGTAAAAAATGAAGTGCCTTTCCTCAGTGCTACGCAGCCTAATTTCTCCTCCTCTGATTTACGAAATGAAAAGTTTCTCATGTCTAGTGCAACCTAGTCGAGGAAAAGACCAAACCTTCCAATTTATCTACAAAATTTGAGGGCTTATAGCTGCAGTAATTCGTGGGCTGATGAAATTCTAAATACCTGATAACCTCAGAATCAAAAAGATATATCTTGAGCAAGAATATTCAATATTACAAAACACCGATAGGTCCTCGAGAAGATCCACGTTAAGCCACTTCATCTACCGTTACAGAAGCGCATACATAAGTTCAAACATGAGTATAAAACCAATAAGCAGATAGACAATAAAATAGAAACTTACTTGAATGCTCAAACGGTCATAGAACATACTACGAATACCACCTGTGCCGATAACTTCTACAACAAGAAGGTGAAATTCGCCATCTGTTTCTCGATCCAACCGAACCGATGTAATTAATAATCCCGTATCAACAGTTACATGAAATAAATTCCTGGAAAAATTTGAAGCTACAGAAGAATGGGATAGCACATTCATTGGCTTGGAACTAACTAGCCGAAAAGTAATAAAACCAGGAATTGCAGAATCAGGAGTAAGTTGACGCATCAATGGGGCCAGTACTGTACTAGGTGGTAAATTCTCATGAGCGGATAAATGAAGTACACTATTTAAGGCGAAACGAGGAGCTGGTGCATCGATTCCCCCAGGACCTGGGACAATATGAATCTTAACTTGTGTATAGTTAGTTTTTGATACAGGTGTCCCATTGTCACTTGCAGATACAACGAGACGATGTGTTCGAACAAAATGTTTTGAATTTACACGTGAGATAAACTCTCCAGAGTTAGAATACGCATAATTAGGGAGAAGGGATTTCACTAATGTTATGCATCCAGTCACAGGTTCAATGGCAAAGAAATCAGCAGTATCACCTATGAATAATAAACAAGAGATAACCAGTTATAAACTTACTTCATGTGAATAATTCTTTCTACATTTACTTGTTTAAAAAAATTAGATACATTAACCCTAGAATACGCGAATCGCTCTGATTTGGGTAGTGAATAAACCAACACTAAGTGATAATTAGATAATAAGCATGCTGCATAATTTCATTTGATTATGTAAGCAAATGTACCACTGATATGACCAAATGACAATGAACTTATCGACCTGATTAGTTTGTTAACTTGACGCTTAAAATGATTTATCAAAACATTTTGAACATCGAAAAATAATTTAATAAAATGTGAATATATACCTATGTATATGTAATCAAGTAAAAGTTATAACAACAGCAACTTGTGAAATATAATATCACATATATAATCCATAAAAAAAACTGCAATAGACTACTAAATGCCATCTCGGATCCATCTAGCGTTTTAATAAAAGGATACAAAAAAGCTTCATATACTAAGTCTCGGGCAGTAACTACAGGAAATGAAATAGAAAAGGTTTCTTATCCACATATATTGAGTACAGATAGGGTTGGCGATATTAAGGCAGCTGACTGTGTTTCTATGATTCATTGACCGAAATTGTGTTCATACGCATTCCAGTGAGTTACTTGATCCCCTTTGACTATCTCTAAGCTGTGACTTGATCCTATGAATCAGTTGCTAAGTTAAAATAGACAGCCTAGGATTTACCGAAACCCGGTCAATCAAAATATTGATAATAAATGGCAAATAGTTGCATACATTAGTAACAATGAGTACATATTTCAATCATTTTAAGACAATCAAAAAATACGCAACGAATCTGAACAAAAGTTGTACACTTAACAAGAAAGTTAGTCTTCAGCATAAAAAGAAGTGGAAAGATGACATAAACAATGACTTACCTTTTATGATGTTATATACTATTCGCCCATTTTCACCAGAATCTGGATCAAACGCTGTGACGCAACCAACCGAACTATTTATAGGATTTAAACCTGATGTATAAAATGTAAAGCTCCCCAAATATTGAGGCACTGAATCATTATCTATTATACTTATGAGTTGAGTCCCTTCATTTGAAGGTGTGTATAAACCGAGAAATTGTGGAGCATACTCATTTGTATCTAATACATGCACATATATGGTTGCATAGGATGAATACGAACGTACATCCGAATAACGAACTGTAGCCAAGATATAATGATGCTGAATAGTTTCGTGATCCAAAACCCCATTGACACGCAGTTCACCTAGAATCAAGAAGAAAAACCACTTTTTAAAATCAGTCATGCGTACAAGTGACGATAAGGCTGTGTAAAATAGAATTATTAGCACTGTCCATTGAGTAATATTACCCAGTTAACGACTTCGTTGGGCGACGAATCTGATGTGGGGCAAAACATTAGGCCACTGTTTTAGTCGGGCGAAAGGGGCTGGTTGTAGGATCGACAATCAGTGCGTGGGCCAGATGTCGGGGCATTTGTAAAAACTTAGGGTCAAATATGTCAAACACGACGCCAAGAGTAGGGAAAATGTTTCAAAACCCTACGTTTGGACCGACGTTTTCTATAGTGAGTGGCCCAACATTTCCCTATTTGGTCCGACGCAAGTGTTGACCGAGAACAGTCTAACAAGGCTTTCTTGTTCACAACATCTCTTCAATAATACTGTCGGTATCTGATTTATTCACGAAATAATATATTATCACATCAAAACATTACAACGACGATTACTTTAAGAAATACGGTTGTAGAATCTTAGACGAATGAGATATACAATTATAGACTTAAGTGTCAGACCTTCAGTTAAACACTAAGTATAAGAAAGATGAATGAACTACTTAACTTTTCATATTAAAGTAGGTGAGTTAAACCCCAAATAGTAAACCAAACAGTGGTTTACTGGATATCTAAGTAACTGGGTTATGTCTTTTGTATTTGTATTGTATTTCACGATGATAATTACTAGAATCCATGATAGGTATTTGTGTGAGACATACAAGTTATAAATATAAGCTGAGTAGCAAGTACACAAACACTTGAAGCGAATTTCAGTCTATTCAGCGAACGAATAAGCTTGAAGTATAGTTGCTTCAGTCGTTTAATTAACAAACAATAAATACATTTCGATAATGCAGAGTGGAGATAAGCCAATATTATTTACTTGCAAGCTTAACAAACAGCTAGGAGCAAATGACATCCTATGAAAATATACGATCTGTCCACGAGAAGTAAAACTACCATGTCGAACTAAGTTTTGCATAAATAATAAACCTTGTGAACAGTAGAAACGGCAGTTGAGCCGAAAATAATGTCTACTGTAAATTGCCAACTGAAATCCTAAACTTACCATACTGATGTGGTTTAAGCACTTGACTTTCAACCTATGGGTTACAGATTCGAAATCCCCTTTAACCAATGAGGTTTAGTAAGTTAGTACTAACAGAATCACACAACAGGTATGATCCATTGTCCAGTGCACAGCCCTGAATGTGGTTGTTAAGCTGCACTATCGGTATTATTATTATTGTTAATACGTGCTAGTGAATATGAGCATGGATTATCAAGCCCTTTCCCAGAACCTTGAGCTCATTTACACAAAACATTACTATATGCTAAGGTACCCTCTAAGGAAAAGCGCTAATAAAAACCCAAGCCATCAAGAAAACAGTAATCGATAAAACAGTGTAGGGAAGATTTTTATATATATATATATATATATATATATATATATATATATATATATATATATATATATATATATATATAAATCAAGTCTAACATACCATACTACATACATTTATGTCGCCATCCCGTAATTCAGGACTGTTAATGCAACAGATACCAGAGTAGTCAAATTCCCATGAAGTGAAAATACATTCAAAAGAGATTTTCTTTCTCTAAGTCATTACTAATTACATAAAATTAAGTATCATTGATCTGACTGAACGGCCATTATGAAGCACACTGTTGGTATGGAGTCAGTAAATAATACAGAGTGCTGTGTTCAGTTCCAGATAGACGTCAAGAAAATACATGAGTGTAACAGTTTAACCAATTATAAAAACTAGAAAATAAATGAAATCTCTTTGCTACATAAGCGTCTACTCAAATAATTAAAGCTGAGGAAATTATCTCATTATTGAATGGTGGTAGAACCTAAGAAGGAAGAAACGACCATTAAGCATGATAGTAAATGCTTTAATTATTTTCACGTTTGAATACACATTCCAGACAACGTAAAACTGTTTGTATACTTTCTTTTTCTCCTGAGTAAAACATGAATAAAAACATCGACTTTACAAAATGCAGTTTTTATTTATGATTCTGTTAGTCTTACTTCAGTGATCATTAGTAATAATGATAATAGAAATAATAATAAATAATAATGATAATAATAATGCAAGGAACGGCAATATAGGATAGCGATCACATTGTGCACATGGATGTGTCAATCACTGGCAAAAACATCACCATCGACCACAGCAGATCGAAAGAGTAAATGATTAATAGTAGTAGCAAGGGAATTTTTTATAGATCATCAGCTATAAATTGATTGCACTGTTATAACTGGATTTGCAACGGGGCAAAATTAAAGAGGAAAACAGAAAAAAAATCCAGGAGAATACAGTTGTGTAAATCATTAAGAAAGTTTTCACTGAATTAACTATCTGATTTTATCACATCTGATAAGAGCTGTATTTACTTATGATTGTAGAAACTCTATTCAAAAACCCTTCGACTTGGAAAATGAACATAAAGTTCTAATGTGCAGAATTAATATTCCTTCCATCTACTGTTTATGATTAATATTTTGGATAAAGTTGAATCCCAGTTTTATCCTGTGGTGCATAAATAGGTGCACAAAACTGCTGGTGTAATTAACGACTTTACCTGCAGTGATGATCAATAATAAGATGATTAGAAGACATTTCAAGCCGCACTAAATTGCTAACTCTAACAAAAGATACAGATGAGATAGCGTCATGTAAAAAACCTTCAAGGATCTGGAGACATTTAGTGATCTTACTGAAAAGAGAAAACTCAGAAATGAAACCTGCGACAACGTGTGTACATGTACATGTTATCTCATCTGGTTCTACACGTATAACACAATGCATTTTTATGCAATTCAACCAAAAAGAGGTGCTCGAATGCATGAAATCATTAAAACCTTCGCAGTGCTCCGGATCAGATGGCATGCCAGGTATTCTATTCACGAAATGTGCTGATATTATACGCAATCTATTGACAAACATTTTTAATGAGTCTTTTGCTAGAAACGATGTACCAACCGCCGGGAAAGAAATTAAAATACTTTCCGTACCTAAGTCCACATCTGCTGGAATTAAAGCGAAATTCCAACCGATCTCAATTACCTTATCATTCCTAAAAATAACGAAAACACTGTTGCTTCGTGCGCCTGCAAGCTTCCAGAGATCAAAATCAATTTGCCTACAAACCCAGAAGTACCTTAAATGTTGCAGTTTATTTACATCATAATATTATGTCTAGACAAAGGTATGTTGGATTTTCCTTCTTAGTTTATACTCATGTCTTTGACTTTGTCCTGAAACTCTTTCCTTACACAAGATTCAAAAAACTCACATTGAGTCCTGGATTGCAAACTCGCCTCATTCATATTTTTCTGAAAAAAGAAAAAACACTATACAAACGGAAGTCATCTACTTCACTGCTTCATACAGCCAATGTACCTCAAGGTCTTCTTCCTCCTTTTCTTTTCCTCTCGCATCACTGACCAACCTCAACTTTCTCAATTACCCTCATGACCTAACGGTATCCAAGCTCATCATCTCATCCTCTGATAGTTCTCAGTTTAACAGCTTATTAACGGAAATCGGTTACTGGTATTCCTTAAATCACCTCACACTCAGTACCTCCAAGTGTCAGATGGTTAATTTTAGCTTAAAACACGAAAAAAGACCTCCGCACACTGCTTCACTCCCATAGCTCTTGCTTTATACATGGCTCTACTGTAGACGATGTATCAAGTGTGATCTATCTTGACTGCACTTCTCTTCTGATTTTTTTCGTCCCCTCATTTCTTGCTGATTTACAGGAAAACCCTTCACTTGACCTTTCATATTAAGAAACACAGACTGTCTGGTATAACCCAACCTCTACTCTCAAGTCTCATTAGTTTCTGTATTTTGCCTATACTTACTCATTGTTCCCTCTTGTTCTTTCCTCAACTCCGGAAAAACGACTACTTTGTATTGACTAGAATTTTGAAGGCTGTCAGCAGAGCAAATGCTGCACCATTAACCCTGCTGATAAATGCAATCGTCGATACGAATCTCAACTCTTGTAGACTACTGGATAAAAATATATTATTTGATGACAAGCATGCTCTGCATCCTCACCTCTCTCCACGTCTGTCGTCTGCGAAGACAACAAGCAAATACACTAAACTTTGTGCACGCACAACTACATACAAAAATTCAACCATATCTTATTTAGCTTGTGTATTGTGTGAAGTAAATCATGTTAGACATAGTCTTATCAATCAACTGTGTAATAGCAAATAGTTATCATGTCCATGAAGTCACTAAACACTTCAATAATCCTGTTATTCGCGATTCTGTATTATATATTGTCAAACAGAACCACTGTTAACGCTTTAAAAATGTTGAACTATGGGTAAATTGACGTAATAACATACGCTGAGAATTCCGTACTGTAAACATAACTATGATGCGGAATACAACAAGTATATTATTATTACCATTATCATTATTATTATTATAAATAAAAAAATCCCAATATAGCACACTGAATAATATGAATGAAAAATATCTCGCAAGAATAACATTAAGGGCGGAAAATTTAAAGAGAACAATATCATTATGACATACGTCAGAAATGAGATATCCTAACGGTCAGTAGTCGAACAAGGTAGGCAATAGTAACCACCTATTGGCATACTGGTGCACGTGCGGATAAAAAAACTTGTGATTGGGTAAACCCGGAATGTGAAACAATACAAATACACTTCAAGTAGAAACCCATTTTACTATCTTAATCCTTCACTTTGATGTATATACTAATGATAATATTACTTTCAAGGTAGTATTCTAGATGGATTGGTATTAATTGGAAAACCATTGAAAATCTGGGAGCAATAATATATACACATGAGCCCTTGAGGAGTCAAGCGCAAAAGAGTCAGGGTTAAAGACCCAAACTACAATGAAAAAGCTATCCAGCAATCGTATATTTTCACTAATTCGCTAAATGGTTTTAGTTCGTGATAGAAAATGCTTTAAAACCAATCAACGAATACTCCCATAAAAGCCCAGAATCCAATAATATTACTACTACCAGTAACAACAGTATTGTTTGCAGTGATGAGTAAGAGAAACCAGTAGTACAGTACACACATGAAGGTAAATCAATGCTAAGACCACACACTGATAGTCTGTTGACTCATTTAGCCGTTTTAACATTTATGGTTGGTTAGTTGACCTGGCATCTGTTACACTGTAGTGATATGCATTCAAAAATAAAAAAATTGAAACTAAAGCGAATTTTAATGGTAGATTAGAACCATAAACACTTTGATGGGTAAGTAGTAACAAAAATAATTTGAACTGAACTAGAATGAAAAGCGCATCTTTTATATTAGGAATACGTAGATGATGTAGAAAATGAGGTTGTGGTACATTGACTTGAGCACTCTGATCCACTTATCGAGGTTTGCGCAGCTGTACAATACAACTACTTCTAACATAACAGAGGTTGGTTTATTTCCCATAGTAAGAACTTGCACTTGATCGTTAGATGGTATTGTATTGCATTGCACATACAAGCAGACATAATAATGGAACCGAAATCTCTCTACCGAGTGGCGATATTTTTAGAGGAACCAAGGTTATTTTGCCTCCTACTTTCTACTCAGTGAACATCTACTTTCCCTGCTTTTCATTCTACGATTACTTTTATTAAAGAATATGCATACAATTGACATAACTCACGACATCCTGTAGTCACATGTAATTATAATATTGTAAACCCATTCATTTATCAGCTACTAAATTGCCTGAATGACCGTGTGGTTTTGGATAAACACTTCATCCTCTTCACCCAGTGACCATAGTATAATCATCATATGCGTGCCTATGCATACAAACACAAGAATATGAACTATGCTTGATATACCTGCTACCGTAATAGCATAGCATACCACCGCTGCTATCTGATATATCAGACACAGTATCTAGAGATTGGCAGGATCATAGTAATAATTACAGTCATTACTATTTATAGTATTTGGGAGTTTACCTACAGAAGCGATTCACAGAAAGCTATAGAAACAAATCAACAAACGCTTATATACACACAGATGTAGCTATCACCTTCCCTTTTCAGTCAGTGACTCATATACTGTGAAATGCATACAAACATAAATACAAAGAAATATACAACAAATCTCTACTAAACAAATGAATAGAAACTAAGTTATATTATTTTGGGATATAAAAATAAATGGAGTCTAACTTAATCAGGTCAAATCATCTGAATGAATTTAGAAAGGAAGAAAGCTGAACTCGCCTACATTAAAAAACATAACCTACGCTTCTCGTAGTCTCCCATTTAACACATTAAACACACATGCAGAAAGACAAACATAGATACACTTTGACCATTGACAGGAGTGTACAAATCGAAAGAATTCGCAACACGTATGTCAAAAATATTACACACTAAACAAATAAATAGTAGAATAAATGAAAAGCAAAATTGTAAATAATCCTCTAGTGTAAGCTACACTATTGATATGATTGAAAATTGTAACAGTTAAGGCGGAATATATTTGTATTCAGCATAACTCTGTTATTTAGAGAAGACGTTTTGGGTTAATTGTTAAGTTAACCTAGCGCTGATAACCTGCAAGTATCATAGCAAGACTGCTTACCAATGAAATAAATAAGGATAACAAGTAAACATGGAAAACAGAAAAAATAAAAACAGGAACTAGACATACCTGTATATTCGTTCAAAGTGAATAAATCCCATGTTTGACTATGTTCAACAGACATGATTGCATAATGTAGCCTATGAATAGCATCATTTTCCGATTCATTAACAGTTAACCGACAAACAAGACTTCCAGTCAATGTCGACTCAGTTAGATTTACATGAATAAGAATATGGTGGCAACAATTTTGAATAGTTGAGTTTTGTTGTAGAGATAAGTCAACAACAGATACATTACTGACGTTCGGTTCTGAGGTGATCGAACTGATAGAAAACCTTGGACTTGAATGAATTGCTTTTTGTACATTGATTTGTATCTGAAAATAAAAGGAAAGAGAAAATGCAGAGTTTGCACATCGATATAATTGTCTGTCTTAATTCGATAAATAACTAAATAACTGAACTGTTTTCAGGATCCTCAATACGTGAGAATATTTGACTTATTGACTGTCATCATTATTAGTCACTGATTTTTATTGGTCCTTCAACCTTATGCTCTTAACTAACTCATCTCATTTGATGAACAAATTTATCATCAATATTTACACTTTTCAAATTACCAACTAATCTGGTCGTGACGGCTAATTTTTCACATTCAGTTTTAACACTCCTTTCATCTTTATAATGTTGGCCCCAATTCTTTGTCTTATCTTGAAATATGCCTACATCTCTATCTGCGTTACTAGTAAGTAGAGAATTCACCAAATTCTACTTCCTATACATTCCACTGAGTTATTAAATGCAGTTATACAATATTTCAGGCTAAAAATCAAAACTTGCTGAAAGGTCAAAACTGACTGATTAGATGAACTTGTTAGTGGAATTCAAGAAAGTAAACACGATTTACATCCATAATTTAAATAGTCACCAGTTCAGCAATCCATTCCTCATAAATTATTAAAATTCACATAAGCTGTAATTAGCCAATGGAGGGATTCAAAACATGAGTGGCGACTCAAAATTAGGTGATTTTTTAATGGAAAGAAGTATTTAATTAAGCGCACGCAAGCATACTAAATGAAGATAAGAAGCACAATATAACGAAATTTCTCCTGGTTTCCATCACTTTCGGTTAGAAAAGCTTTATCCTTCTTTTATCTCAGCAAAGGAAAGAAGTAGACTCTCCTTAATTTCTTATCGTGTGTACATTGGTTCATTTGTTATTGTCGTTATCGCTATTGTCGCTGTATATTTTAAAAAAATTTTCCGAATAAAAATGCTAATAAACTGAGGCGAATGAGTAAAAGCATGCACACGCAATGTAGAAACTTGGTATTAAAGTGTTTCCCAATGAAGTAAATAACACTAAATTTTTCTAACCCGTAAGAAGTAAAATAATGACACAAAACATAGACATAAGTGCAATTTAGTTGAAAGGAGTGTACACACGACCATTCCCCAACAGAGAAAACAGTTATTATAAACTGTGATGAAGTCATCCCTTGAATGATTAATAAATCTTAAGGTAGGATTCATCAAAGACTGACACCAGTTGGAGAACCACTGAAAACCTGAGAGCACTGGATAGCCATTTCGTCCTAGTATGGGACTCCTCAGCACCACGCACTCACGACCCCACCTGTTACGCACCAAATTTACGACCTTCAGATCCCACTCATGGTGAACAGGTTAGCCATTCAGTCACTGGATTGAAGTTCAGTAGCTCACAGTTCCCCACTTCTGTCAATTCATGACTGCCCTCTGAGTTCTTCAGTTGGCATCTGCTTCACTTCCGACTGGTTGACCCTAAAAGTCACGGCTTCTCACTACAACTTCGGGATGTGCACTTAAAAGCTATTCACTGATAAGCCCGATGCAGTTATGTATTTTGAGGTTAATAGGGACTTTAATTTTAAGTTAGAAATCATCACGGACTGTGTTTTGCAGGTGCTGTAACTTTTGATCAGAAGGGAACTATTTGAATGATGAAGTGGTTTACGATAAAAACTCCATAAGTATCAAATAGACATGTCACATTCCCTGGGTATCATCTTTCTTAACATGCACAAAAGCCCAAGTTTCTGTGAAAAAAGTGGGTACTTGCAGAAGATCACCGATAGATCTTAGTACATATCAATACAAACTGCTGTGAGAAGTAAATTTCAGAAAAAGCTATTTAACAATAGACGTCATGTGTTCAAAGGTTAAGAGAAATTAAAAAGGACGTTATTTTCAATTCTATAAATAGGAGAGACATGTACGTTTTATCGAAATTAAATTGTAGCACAAGAAGATTCGTTCAGATTTAATGGGTACTTGGAATGACTTGTAGCTAGTTACCAGTGCAAGTGTTATAGAAAGCTTAAGATCAATGAAGAGATACTATATCATCAATTTCAACCCCCCCCCCCCCCCAAAAAAAAGTCTCTGTGACGATCAGCTAACAATCATCTGGTCATACAAGCAGTATTTTGATGCACATTTATTAGATAGTAGTTGAATTAAGTTATGAGCAAGTACTAAATATTATTTAAAACTATTCCGCTGCCAAGTGAATCAACACATATAAAAGTAAGTCTCAAACCAACTTTCTGAAGGATTTTCGCAGTCACAATGTGAAGACATCTTACCCAGCTAATTTAGTATATAATCAACTTTATTGCACCTTGGTTAGTTTGGTCTCTCTGAGATGGATAGTTTAATTATCAAGCCTTCATTATCTTTCTAGAAAGCATCATCATCACTAGCTTCGAGAAACTAAACTATTAGGATGTCTCCGTGAGCGAATTGGGTAGCCTGCTCTGACGAGGTGGTGTTAATAGTGATTTCCTTTTATTTTTGTGCCACTGACTGCATTGACCAGTTCTCTGCCTGACCTTTGACCTTGTAGTTGTTTATCAATTTCCTTATTAGTTGATGGATTGAGTCTAAACACCTGCTGACTGTTGCTTGAACTGGGTTTCTTTGTATTTCCTTTGTTCAAGAAATCTGCATGTTCAAAATCGAACTCAGTCAATAAGTATCCACATGCATTGATATAAGTAACTGAATATCATGACTTTTATGTAGACAAAGACAAAGAGCTCAACGATTTTGCCCAATGTAGCAGCTGTCATTGCAGATGAAGTATATACTTACTGCAAAGAAGTTATAACTATAGGGTCGCCGCAATTTAAATAACTGTGACATTTCAACATTTAACTTTTCTTGAAATAATTTAATTTCCGATTCTACTTTGATCGAGAAATATTTTTCAGTCAGTTCCTTTTTTGAAAACTAAAATCTGTGTCATAAAAGCTAGACAAACATATCTCTAATTCATTTTACTTTACTTTAAAATCAGGGTTATTTCAGATTAAAAAATGAGGGAAACCTTTTATACATCTATCGGATGGACCAGGAGTTAAATAATTTCATTATACAGTGAAAGTCATTCTTCTGTTTAGAAAATAGCCTGATTCCAGTTTTGTCCATTTGTCAAGCTTTAAACTGAATTTTGAGGGAGTTGTGGAGATTTGGAAATATTTCAAGTCGCTATTCATCGAAGACTGACATCAGTTGGAGGAACAAGGAAAACCTGGGAGCACTGGACAGCTGTTTCGTCCTAGTATGGGACTCCTCAGCAGTGCGCACCAACGACCCCGCACCACCAGAGATCGAACCCGCGACCTTCAGGTTCCGCGGCCAGTGCGTTGCCATTGAGCCACTGGGTCAGAATCCAATGCTCCATATTTCCAACTTCTGTTAGCTCACGATATAGCGTAACCGCCACCCAATGTCATCTTTGAGTAACTGTCCTCAAGACCATCAGGCTTGACTCCACCGGTCACGACTTCTCGTTGGAACTTCGGGAATACTTCTCGAAGCTAGTCACCAATGAGCACCAGTTCAATTGAATTTTGAGGTAGTTGTGAAGATTTGGAAATATTTCAAGTTGTTATTCGTAGACTGACATCAGCTGGAGGAACAGCTGTCCAGTGCTCCCAGGTTTCCTTCGTTCCTCCAGCTGATGTCAGTCTACGATGAATAACAACTTGCAGCTTTAAACTGTAGAATGCATGAACTCCACAAAGCATTTCAATTTCCTCTATGGATAACTTTTAGACTGGATACCTAGGACCGGAACTGTTATTTGCAGAGGAATTTCTATTTCGTGGTCTATCGTAAAACCGATGAGGAATAGGCCCATTTGATTTCATTTGTTATCTGTCGTTTCGTTATCTGTCCTGCTTTGATGAATTTGTCTAAGGTTTTGGTGATCTGGTTTCCAAACTTCTGAATAGGGTTGGTCTTCAGTGGTTGCTATTCATTTTGGTCTTTGAGTAGATCCCCGGTTTTCTTGATGCACTCTTTCTTGTTCATGTATACAGTGATGTGTCCTTAGTTTGTCAGGAGTGTTTTTATTGCTTTCTGTTCCTGAGTGGTTGATAGAATCTAGTCTTGTTTGTTTTCGGTCAATGATGCGCCTGTTTGCCGTATTTCCTTCTAAGTTTCCCCCATTCAATCCTGATGCTTTGAGCGACGACATCAATGCAAAGAATTACGGTTTTGAGGCGCCTCTTGTGTTGTAATTCAGTTCTTTTTGGAGAAGAGGTATTTTCACTTTCGTCAAAATGGTTGTTTGGATACGTTGACTACGTGATTATTTATCTCCTCCGTTGTAGGTGCATTTGAAATTTTGATCAGAATTTCACCGAGGACTTTCCTTTGGCGTTCTTTATGTCGCATGCTTTTGATTGCTGATGTTATGTTAATGTTATCAAATGCTGTAACTTAAATATACCACCTGCTTTTCTTTTGTGGTTGTCAGTCACAAGTTTTGTCACTAAATCCAATAATGTGCATCAATAATCATCAGTTGTACCACTCGTCTACCAACCAATACAAAGAATGATAGACAACTACAGGGTCAAAGGTCAAACAGAGAACCGGTCAACAGGAGAATCTTCGCAGTCAGTGATACAACAGTTAGGGAAGACTGTTGATTTACTAAAGAGAAAATCTTGATCGCTCATTTCATATTGAATTTAGTGACAATGATGTCTAAAAAGACAACAAAAGCATCAGGACTAGAACCAACTACCTGAGGTACAAATATTTCCCGCTGTTTTATTTCGTCTAGCTTAAACTCACTACTTAACCCATTCATCGACTCAGAGATCACATTAAAAAAATTATAATACTATTTTCAAGCAGATCATATTGTTTAACGTACTATCACATAGCAGAAATAATGTTAGTATAAATACAACTTACTCTATGATATGATGTTTGCTCAACACAAAAAACAAACTGTTCAATGAAACAAAGATAACTTGAATAAAAATGACAACAAATCATTGTGAGTACAATAATATCTGTATCCAAACTTTCAATTTAAAAATGACCAAGAATTCATTGAGCAAAAACAGGAAATCTATTAACGGGAGATGTCAAGTCGAAATCTCTAATGTAATCAGTAAATATTAAACAAGCAAACATAGTATACACAAACAGTATAACTAATCAACAAGGAAATGATTAATACATTAATCAAATCATTCTCAATCAAACTTCATGATAAATATGCGTGACCAGCCTGTAACAACGTAACTATTCATTGTTTCGTAAGTTAACGTATGACTGAATACAAATGAGTTGGCTTAATGAGATAAGAATAAAATTGTTGTTTAATAGTCAAATAATTTCCAGAATCTACTCTTACTCTAAACTAAATTTACATAGTAAAACTGCAACCGAATATCAGACAGTGAAAAAGAGAAAAACAGAAAACAAATAAATTTTCATATAGTTTATGTGTTCAACTGACTACTGACTATAAAAGTAACGAAACGCATCTATACACATTCGTATAAAATCCTACATCATAATATAATATTTACCTTTGTAGTTATCATTTCTAAACCATTTGAAATGATCAATAATAAGTTATGAACAGACAGTGAATTGTAGTCCAACTGCTCCGCCAAATAGACGAATAAACTTGTAGGTGTAGAATAACCCAATGCAAATGGATGATGGTAAGAATGATTGGATGCTGCAAATGACATTTGTAAAATAGTAGAATGAAAAAAATTGATTACAAAATACGCACAGTATTGAAAGAAACGAACAATAAACAATGCCATATCCTGGATGATGACTGAAGGTGAAATAAAAACTTGGGCAACAGTAGAATTGGAACTAAGACTCTCAGGAAGTCTTGTTAATGATCCATGCGACGCTCATTCACTTTAATTCAGCTCAATTTGGACTGGGCTTAGAAGAGTTGGTTTAGCAATCAATATGAGAACGATGATTGGATCATAACTTATCCCATATTCACATGGAAGCCGAACAAAAGCCTCAGTGATCGAAATGAATTTTTGATCTGGTCGGTAGCTGTGCCATAAAGCGCTGGGTCAGTAACCCAGAGGCTGCTGGTTCGAGTCTTACCACCGCCAGGACATTTATCTCACCTCTAATGATCATTCAGCATCAACAACACCAATGTGCCAAACCTTAGTTGTCTTAGATAGCCTCATTAATATTAAATGCCTTTGGTCTAATAATGTTAAAAACAAAAATTCAGGCATTCCATACTAGAATATACAAGATTCATAACGTGGAAATTTGTCAAAAACTGTCAGTAAATGGATAGTGTGTAACATAAAAGATACACTCAACTATTAATTAGATTCTATAATTTCTTATTGTTTACCTTATCAGATCAATTCGATCGGTTTCTATCAACATACTGCTGTAGCGTCCTCGATATGAGAAGTATCAATAACTGGAGATTGTTGGCGATGTCAATGGCACAGAAAGATATACACTGTCATCTTGAAAGTCTTAAATGTTTATACCGACTTCATTTTTTGCCTCATCACTTATATACTTCGTTTACTTCATTATCATTCTTTTTCTGCCCACATCCTTTGCATACTGTCGTAAGTATGGCAACTTAAAGTAGCTCACTTCTGTGCCTTAATTTATCCTGATTTATTTGTCTGTCTATCTGGAGTATTAGCAAGAGGGAGAGGTAAAGTTTGAAATTCACTACTGGTTATCACTAAATAAACAGAAAGTACTAGACCATTTCAAAACTTGATAATGCTTATCGTTATCACTGCTACCATAAATTTTGATCCGTATAACATCACTAACAAAGAGGAAATTATTCTGTTTGATTCAATTACGCATGCCCATTTTATTGAGTCAAGCAATGTCTTATCCTTAAATATAACTGCCAACTTATAAAATTACTTTAAGTACGAAAATTGTCAAGTGATTTTAGCAACCGATAAGATGTGCATTAGTTTATTTTGGTAAAATTCGGACAACACATGAAAAAAAAAGTCACAAAAGAAGGGAGAGGAAACTGTGCAAAGGTAATAAAAAGGGAAGTGACTTCACAACTCAACCTGCTACACAGTTTAAAATGCAGTAGGTTTTGAGTCGCATTTGTAGATTAGAGCAAAGTCGATGAAACTGAATTTGACCTATGGGCCTATCACTTGGGAGCCGCTAAAGTCAATAAGCTACACCGTCACTCAAAACAAACAAATTTAGAATCATAACACGAATAGTAAACTTTTTGATCTATTGGTTATCTATTTTGCGTCATGCAATTGAATATTGGTAGCCATAGATGTTTAGTATTTCTCAAATATCGACTAGAAAATCTACAGTCGAACATACAACCCCCATTGATAGTCAATGCCTGAATGAATCAGAGTTATGATTTAGCTTGTACTTATCCAGACCACCTGAATACATTGTTTTATCGTATCGTAGCATCTTAGATTATACACGTTAACTCTCTCAAGTAATCGTTATAATCAATAGATAATTCACAGGAAAACAACTTTTAATGAAATTAAAAGTCGAAAAATAAAAATAACAATGATCATGATAACAATAATTATTATCATTGTTACAAGTAACAAAAATATTCATGCCATGCTAGAAATATAAGTTTTTTGAACGTGTCAGTTGCCATTTGAAAAAGAATTGCATAATGTAGGTTTTAAAATAAAATTGTTGACAGCAATAGTAGTGATTAATGGGGATGACAATTGAAAATTATGCAAATTAGCTAAGATCTAATGAGCAAAGTTTATGATAAATGAAAAACGGAAATGTTGTATGAGCATAGGTAAGAGAGACGGAGGAGGAACAACAAATTTTATGACTATATAAGATTTATGCTATAATTTATTCGTTAAAGAGCAGACAGTAAGAAACACGACTTCAATATGTACTGAAGTGTCGATAATAAGAGATACAACCTACTGTATACAAAGCTGTTGTTGAACCTTACCATGATCTGGGGAATTTAATTATGAGAGATTTATAGCTAAGAACGTAGAGGGTCAAGTTCTGAGTGTTCTCCAGGATTACATATTTCCCCTAGTTAAGGTCTCATCATCAAGTTAATCAGCATATGTTGAGTGAACATTAATAACCCTAAGGTTCTCAGAGGAATTCATATGTAGATAGGTGAGCAGTTAATTCTCAAATCACTTAGATTTCTGACTTAAGGCATTATCAGAATTAAAAAGAATAAAGAAGAGATTGAATAACAGTAAACCTCATCATTTAAACCCCTTAAAAGGATGAGACCGCAAAGATGAAGAAGTTGGTGTTTGAAATAAAATAAAATGGACAAAAATAAGCAAAGAACAACAGAGTTTAAATTTCGGAAGAGAGAAAGGAGTGAGTGTAGCTACAGTGAAATGATTTGAGGTTCAATAAACATCATCTCATACCTACTCCTGGCTACTTCTTTATTTCTGTTCAGTGATTGATTGATAACAATACTCAGGTTAGTGCTAAAAGCTAACTAGACCAGCTAGAACGCGCCTTGATTACGTTTCGTTAACTAATCGGACTTTAGACGTGGTACTAACCTGAACAAAGCAACAATTAGCCACAAATATGTGCTTGAGTGAACGAATTCCATTGAATATTAAGTCAGTGAGAAAGTAAAACATTCAACTAGTCTAGACAACAGATGAAACTTGAAAAGTAAAAGTTAGCAAAACAATCAACAGTAGTAATTGATACTCTGCAATCAAAACACAAAAATACAGAAGTAAAAGGGATACAACTCAAGCGGAATAATTTATCAACACCTCAAATTAGACGATAAAGACAGACCTCAAATCGATTACCTTACAGAATCTATGGAGAACACGAAAAACCAAGGGAAAGTAACAACACTGTCCCAGTAGTCTGTGAATGTCGATAAAAGTTGAGATTAAATAAAGCAGAAAAAAGCTAATGGATATCCAAAAGTGTTTAGTTAACGTCACCAAAAGTCCCAGTTTAATATCTACAGTAAGGTTTTTCACTTCAATATCGGTCAACAAATTCATATGTCAACATACTCTTGTATAAAATGTATATGAAGAAGAAACTCAGAATAATCACTTATATGTATGCATACTGTCAACATAGGCAGACAAAATTCTCGGTATAAACAACTATACTTATACTCAATATTTGGTGCTTGAATAACATAAATGTAGAATTATGCAGAAAACTGACTGAAGTATGCTGTATAGAAACAGCTGATATTAACAGATGAACACTCCATATCGTCACTACAGTAACGTCTGTAACTTACCTAACAATCGTCTCCACACCTATGTCAGTAAGCGAATAAATTGTAAATCTTACAAAAACCATCTAACCGATATTAAGTGTGAATGTATGAATCCCCATAAATGTCATAACAAATCAATAGTTTCTCAACCGTAAACAACACACTAAAACCACTGCTTCAATTTCACCTCCGACAGTGTGTTAACAAAAAGCTTCATCATTACAGTTTACTTACAACTGTCCTAACCAAATAACCAAAAACACATTCAACCGGCTGTAGAATAATATTTCCTGGTTATAAAGTGTATTCCTTACGACGCATGAGGAGTGGAACCAAAATGGACTAGTGTTAGCAGTCAGAATCAAAATAAGTTCTTTAATGATATACGCTTATCTCATGCAAAATCCATGATAAGAAAAAGTGATAAATCACTGAAACATACACAAATTGGAAAAGATAAACTGGATAATTAATGGGATCAAATGATATAGAAATGAAAAATGAAATTGAAAAAAGGCTGAGAATAAACTCTGTGAATGTGTATTAATCAGTCAAGATTATTTTACGAATTTAATTTGTCTGAGTTAAACTATCAATTATAATATTTCTCAAAAAAGTGAAAAATAAACATGATAAGAACTGGAAATGTTAATTTAAGCGACTTATATCAAGTTGTTTACTTCGATTTGATAAAATGTTTAACTAAGTAAGGAAATTAATATGATTTATGTCAGCCATCCCACAATTACATCATAGTTCATCATTGTAGTCTTATCAGTAATCACTTTATTCAATAATTTACGGAGGGTAAAAGAAACACGCTTAAACTAATTTATGTTATCAGAAGTAAACAAATAATGTAATAAGCAACAGAATCGTCTAAAATTGTGAAGGATAGTGTTAGAGTTGCAGATCCGCAACGGCTGCATGAAAAACTTTAGGAATACACTTATAATATTTAATGAAGATTTTTCCATTGACAATGCCCATTAGTAGGCTGTAAACCTACAAGCAACCCAACAAAAGAATTCAACAATTATCGATATGAATAAACACAGTTCAACGTGACACAATCAATAAGAAGAACAAAATACTTCAAAGAGATTAGAAATGCAACATAAGAAGAGGGAAAACAAGTGACCATAAGAGTCTCGCTTATCCATTGTAATCAGTGATTTACAAGATGAATGTATGCTCAATTTTCAACATGTAAATCAGGTATTTGGACCTCTCCCCATCTACGCAGATTATAGAAGTCAAATCTTGGGTTATTTCTTGAGCAATAGGTGTTGCTCGTTGCTTCATGTACAAAATTACCTATGGCTATTGAGTTATAGTTCAAAATTCAAAAATGAGTTACGAGGTAGTAGAGAAACTTCTACGCCATCACCAAGAAAATGACTACAGGCTATTGTATATTAAATTTCCCAATTGCTAGCTGCTAACAAAACGAGGTGGCCGGGCTTGTGTATCGCAATGGCACGAAGAGCTACAGTGGCGCGAAAATTTGTTTCTTGAGGTTTTACTAAACAACAAAGGTTTGTTGGATAACGGTCAGACAAAAGCAGTTAACGTTGTACTGCAAATCGGTACGCTATGGTAGGAATCCGATGGCGAAATCATACTGCTTGCTAGATGTGGTGGGACAGCAGTAAGGTGTTTCCCGTGGATGATCAACAGTAGATGTTGGTGAAAAATTACAGGTTTTTGACCACACATAATTTAAAAACACTGTTCACCTACGGTGCACTCACCGAGTGAACAACCTCGAGGTCAAAAGAAGGGTACTAGGTACATAAGGCAAATCAGTCAATGAAATTGTGAAATTTCACTAGATGATGTGACCTGTACATTCATTGTGCATGCTGAGCCATCACCTACGCCCATAAGCAACCATGGACGAAGTAAAACTGGATTGAAAAAAAAGTTGACGGTGGCTAAACCAAGATATGACAATAGTCCATGAAGTCAACTGTTGGTCTAAATTGTATAGGTAAGTGGAGATTGCCTGGTTGGAGTCCTCAAGACGATAGGAATCAATGGTTGGAGACTTATAGTGACATGGCTGAAAATCGGTCACAGTAGTGAAGATATATTTACTTTTTGACGTCTTCTGAAGTCTAAACACTTTCACTAGCCCTAATTTTTAAACTGGTTCTCCTGTCACGCATCTTTGTCTACTTAGATATCGTCATTTCTTCTATTAACTTGTTCTCTGTATGCTACAGTGAAGTATAGCAACTGGAACTGATGAACTTCTGTGCTGAGTTCTACGTTGATTTGCTTGTCTGTCTGTCATTAAATTTGATACACCACAGTGAGACGGTATTACTGAATGCCATATCAAATAATGAAACCAAATGCACAATTTCTTTTATATTCATACTAGCAATCATAAATTTATTTTCGAAATTTAGATAGACATAAAGCATTGTGAACCACGTGGACTTAATATCTAGATCAAAATCGTCACTTAGAAGAAAGTAGCTACGGAACTCACGAACATCCATAAAGGCCAAAGTGTACACACTTCTTTTATGCGATTGCCGTATTTTATTCTTCACTGGTTTTTCGTGAACTTTCTCACCCATTTTCATATTACGCAGTGTGAACAGAATGTGTTAGAAATCAAGAAGCATCTGAAGTTGATATGAAAAATCTTATAGCTGCTTCGGAAGACTGAAGACTTAAACACTTACAATATAAAAAAAAACAGAATCATGATTATAAAAGATATTACTTTCGTTCTCTGAGTTTCAAATCCCATAGAAACTAGCCTAAGCAACAGACCATACCATTAGTTTTAATTTTCTGCTTCTTTTCTACTCAGTATGAGATTTTTAATAACTAAACACTTACCAGTTACTAGCAAATGTGCGATGACTGCTTACTAGCTACACAAACAGTGGAAATAAGTTAGTATAATAGACCTCTTAATATTGTAAGAGTAAAGACAAACAAATACCGATGAAATAAGATGATATGCAATTAATATAGTTCAGTAGGTAAATGAGTGATTCAGTTATAAGTCAACATGTTTAGACAGAAATAAGAGTAATTAAAAAAATATACGGAAGACCTAGTTAAAATAAATATTAATAACGCATATGTAAACCAAAGTATCTAAACGACTTTTTAAAAAATACTGCTTTTCAAAAACAGACAAGGTAAACTCACTCAAAAGTTCAAACACCAACCCCATACCACTTGGATCATACGAATCATGAACAGCAAAGTTGAACATCTTTTTACCAACAACAGTGTTGTCATCAACTGAATGAATAGCTGGTGGAGTAGATGTATACCTTATATGATGAATTCCTTCAATTGTTTCAGATGATATATCACTGGATGGAGGTTGAAGAATACGAACAAAAACAATTGCTGATTTCGCTTTCTCTGTACGTAAAACAGGATGACCTTGATCTCTAGCAAATACCTGAAACCGATCGTTTAAATAAAAGTAGAAATAAATTTTTCGAAGTTCATAGGTTACTATGTATCTGGATACCCTAAGACATAAAGGAAGAGTTGTAATAGAAATGAACAATTATTGATAACTCTGGATGACCTAAGGATTACGTCATGAATTGAGTAAATGTAAAAAGTGTCAGTTCTTAGATGATCGAAAGGTAACTTGCTGTCTATAAGACCTGACTTTGATAGCATGAAAATCCGATGCGATGAACTGTCAACAAGTCTAGTAACAGTTCACAGCTACCTAGTTTCATCTATGAATACTTATTATTGTGAAGGTCTTTTCACAGGAAAATATCAGGTTGATATATTAGACCAAAGGTGCTAAGTATGTTAGATTTTCCCTCTTAGTTTATACTCATGTCTTTGACTTTGTCCTGAAACCCTTTCCTTACACAAGATTCACAAAACTCACATCGAGTCCTGGATTGCAAACTCGCCCATTCATATTTTTCGGAAAAAAGAAAAAACACTATACAAACGGAAGTCATCTACTTCGCTGCTTCCTACAGCCAATGTACCTCAAGGTCTTCTTCCTCCTTTTCTTTTCCTCTCGCATCACTTACCAACCTCAACTTTCTCAATTATCCTCATGACCTAACGGTATCCAAGCTCATCATCTCATCCTCTGATAGTTCTCAGTTTAACAGCTTATTAACGGAAATCGGTTACTGGTATTCCTTAAATCACCTCACACTCAGTACCTCCAAGTGTCAGATGGTTAATTTTAGCTTAAAACACGAAAAAAGACCTCCGCACACTGCTTCACTCCCATAACTCTTGTTTTATACATGGCTCTACTGTAGACGATGTATCAAGTGTGATCTATCTTGACTGCACTTCTCTTCTGATTTTTTTCGTCCCCTCATTTCTTGCTGATTTACAGGAAAACCCTTCACTTGACCTTTCATATTAAGAAACACAGACTGTCTGGTATAACCCAACCTCTACTCTCAAGTCTCATTAGTTTCTGTATTTTGCCTATACTTACTCATTGTTCCCTCTTATTCTTTCCTCAACTCCGGAAAAACGACTACCTTGTATTGACTAGGATTTTGAAGGCTGTCAGCAGAGCAAATGCTGCACCATTAACCCTGCTGATAAATGCAATCATCGATACGAATCTCAACTCTTGTAGACTACTGGATAAAAATATATTATTTGATGACAAGCATGCTCTGCATCCTCACCTCTCTCCACGTCTGTCCTCTGCGAAGACAACAAGCAAATACACTAAACTTTGTGCACGCACAACTACATACAAAAATTCAACCATATCTTATTTAGCTTGTGTATTGTGTGAAGTAAATCATGTTAGACATAGTCTTATCAATCAACTGTGTAATAGCAAATAGTTATCATGTCCATGAAGTCATTAAATATTTCAACTATCATGTTATTCTTCATTATATATTGTTAAACAGCACCATTTTTTTATATGTATATTTGAAAAGTGTACAACAGGTAAACTGATGCAATATCACATGCTGAGAATTCTGTACTGTAAACATGGTTCAGAATATCGTAAATATATTATTATTATCAAGCTGATACATTAGTCGAAAATAATTCATTAGAAATAGGATCTCATATAAAAAAAAATCATATAACTGATGAAGAAGTGGTATAATTCTGCACTTACACGTACAATATTTAATTATCACAGAGCAAATATAAGCTTTTTTTATTTCTACAGAATTAGAAAATGAATATGAAGGTATTCTTACCACAGCAACAACATTACTCGAGGAAAAAGTGGATAAGATTAATGAATAACAATAACTACTGACTGAAGTTTCAAAGACACTTCTGGATTTCTAAGACCAGATATATTAAAATCAACTACAATATCAATTATCATTTGACTATCTGAGATAGCCGTGGTCTGGCAGACTAGCATTTATACTGGGTGGTGATTGAAAGTGAAATGAAAATTTGGATCGCAGCCGGATTCGAACCAGCGACCACCAATTTCCCGGCCCGATGCTGTACCGTAGGATCCAGTATATAAAATCAATATAATTTTGTATGAATTATTGGAAAAAGTCCTAAATGGCGAGTATAAGGCATCAAAAGTATATATAAATTTTAGAAAACAGCAACTTTCAGAGTTTGAATGCACACGTTCATCAGTTTTAGATTATTCTACTTCGCTTACAACTATCATTACATTTCCGACGTGATGATGAATTAGGACATCCTAGATTAAGGAAGGAAAAGAAAGAAAACACACTTAGCTACCTTGTGCATATTCGTGCAGTAGGCAATGACCCATACCTATTGCATAAGGGTTAGTGATACTATGTGACTGCCTAAACCTTAGTAAGTGGAGCGAGCGCTCGAACCCGTGACCTAATGGTTGATAGTCATCTGCCTAAAACAATGAGGCACAGCCCCACCAAATTAGAGATATGCTTATTGAGTTACCTCGGTTTAAGATCCGTTAGACGATCACGCTCAAACTACACATACCTCGATAATAAAAAGAAGCACCTACTTGAGAAAGTGCATACAAAATTCAGTTATTATATATTTACCTATAAAAAGGCAGTTTTTATAACACCTAACTTAACATTCAAAAGTTGATCAACCAACTAACAGACTCAAAGAACTACTCAACTTAAAGATCAGAGCTGTAATATGTGGACAAAGGCTGTGAAATAAAAGTGGAAATCGTAAAACCTATTTCGGTCGTACAAGTAATCTACCCATCCAGTTGCCTGAAATAATATGGGACAGTGAAAATCCAATACAATATACATCAAATAAAACTAACTAGAAATTAATTAGATTAAAAAGCAATCAAAGAACCTACATGCATCCTGTATTCACCAACTGGAGGTACACCACCTTTAGTACAAATTAGGCCACTGTCTCGAAGCACAAGAAAATCATCACTCCCTGACGACAGAAAATCAACTGAATGATCACGTTCATAAACCACTGTCCCATTCAATCCAGAATCCAAATCCAAGGCAAACACACGTCCAACACAAATCAGAGAATTTGAAGCTGTAAGAGAGACAATCGCATAATGTATGTAAGAATTGTCTGTGGAAATCGACTATTTTTTCAGAAGAAAATCAAACTCAACATAAGATTAAAGTAATTGTATAACCGTAAGAGAGCTCAGAAGTGTAATGATAAGCGTCAGTCACAATATCAATTAGCACTTAGATCCTTCATGAAAACATAGTACAGAAAATCAGCTTTTAATTATTATTCATATTTAGACAACGGATTTAAAGTGGTATGCCATGGGTTGTAAGGAATAGTGAATCACTAACTGTTGCACACGGTAAAAACAAAACATCTTATGGAGACTGGAAAGTGAGCTTATAAATGCGAACTGCAATAGAGGTTGATAAAATGTAGGCTAAAGGAGAGATAAGCAAAGAACCATAGAATACAGTGAAAACTTTGAAAAAATCTCCCTAAACTTTCACTTATTTAAACGTAAATGATCACCCCAAGCAGTAATCCGAATAATCGATTCGTAAAATCAAAGTATAATGAATTTGAATGTAAACAAATTCATCGCGTGTCGCAAGACTTGATTGGATGTCTTAAGTACACTAAGATGTATCGAACGACAATTAAATGGAGGTGTCTCATTGGAATAAACGGCTAATTTCTAACCAGGGGTTCAAACCCTATTTGATCACGGGCTATCCACTATTTTCGCTAGTTGCCAGTTACACCCACAATGATTCGCAGCAAATTATAACTAAACTGTTTCAGTAAGAAAGAATTGACAACGAAGGGTATTAATTGTTATAGTGTGTTATAAGATTGTATAGATTCTCACAAGAAGCCCCAAATTTATCAAGCCTTTAACAACCACTCGAGTTGCTTCGAGGTTTCGGGAAAAAGCACCTTAACCAATGTGTGAACATCAGACTGGTTGAAGAGGAGAAATCAATAAGATAGTTCCTTCTAGAAAGGTCTAGAAGTAGTTAAAACCACTGCAAATATTTGTAAACCATTGTATTTTGTACACACTTTGACGCTGGAATACACCTTCGGTTGTCTTACCGCCTTTTCTATTTATCGGGGAACTAAGCGACCATCAAGGGCGGAATCTGAAGGTTACTATTCAAACGTGATGAATTCTACCATTAACCACAATGACCTTTTGCAATGATCTTATACACTTTCATCGAAAACCATTATTTTACTGGGCAAACAAGAGATGATGTGTATATGTTTATATACGCTTGTATCTTAAGCAACGATGACTCACTGTTGTTGAAAGGAATTTCTGACAAAAAAACACCTCCCCCACCCCACACACACACACAAGCTCCAAGGTTCACAAACACGAACTAAAGGGAGAAAGGATTTCAATACAAAGGATGAATAGGATGTACATAGCTAAACTAGTCAGTGAATAAATGATTACAAAGTAACTTGTTTACTTTGCGGAAAGTTTTCGTAGTGTCTATTTTTATTTATTTTCCCTTTTTACAGTCTAACTGTATAGTTTTTGATACTGCATGATGATTGGAGGTGAAGTGAAAATTTGTGCCACGGTAGGATTCGAACCAGCAACCACCGGGTTCCCGCGGACAGTATCCTACCAAATGAGTTAACAGCCATGAAGGTTGACCAGATTTTCATTTGAATTCAATCATCCGCGGTTCTGTCCACATGCCATGTGAATTTCTGAGGTGCCACTACCACTCGATTGGGTAGTTTTTGTCGACGTAAAACAATTCAGCTGAATAATAAAGTTCAGTAGATGATATGTCAACGATTATCACGACCCTTTTTCTTTCTTTACCTGCATATATTTTGAAAACTAGATAACAGAATATTCCTCATTTTCCTCTTTTGCATCCATTTATTCCACAAATTAATTAAAAATTAGAAAGAAAGTTGTTTACGCGTAAAGTATAGACACTTCGGTAGAATACAATTCCGAATCACTGGATACAAGAATTATAAAAACCAGATATAACATAACACTGACAGGAAAATAAGCTGAATAATATACTATAGAAGATACACCAAGGAAAAACAAGACACAGCGAAGCTTGTGCCTCATATAAAGACCCAACACATTTCCAAAAATTTGCTCGCACAACTCTTTATCAAACATACACAATCCGATTAAATTTTGAGGGGGTTGTGGAGATTTGGAATTATTTCAAGTTGTTATTAATCGTAGACTGACATCAGTTGGAGGAACAAAGGAAACCTGGGAGCACTGGACAGGTGTTTCGTCCTAGTATGGGACTCCTCAGCAGTGCGCACCCACGACCCCACCAGCAGGGATCGAACCCGTTACCTTCAGGTTCCGCGACCAGCGCGTTACCATTGAGCTAGCCACTGGGTCAGAATCCAATGCTCCATATTTCCAACTTCTGTTAGCTCACGATATAGCGCAAACCGCCACCCAATGTCATCGTTGAGTATTTGTCCTCACGGCCATCAGGCTTTGACTCCACCGGTCACGACTTGTCATTGGAACTTCGGGAATACTTCTCGAAGATAGTCACCAACGAGCACTAGTTCAATTAAATTTTGAGGGGGTTGTGGAGATTTGGAAATATTTCAAGTTGTTATTCATCGAAGACTGACATCAGTGGGTGGCGGTTTGCGCGATATCGTGAGCTAACAGAAGTTGGAAATATGGAGCATTGGATTCTGACCCAGTGGCTAGCTCAATGGTAACGCGCTGGTCGCGGAACCTGAAGGTAACGGGTTCGATCCCTGCTGGTGGGGTCGTGGGTGCGCACTGCTGAGGAGTCCCATACTAGGACGAAACACCTGTCCAGTGCTCCCAGGTTTCCTTTGTTCCTCCAACTGATGTCAGTCTTCGATGAATAACAACTTGAAATACACAATCCGATAAAGTTTCTCAACTCTATTGACGAAAGCGAAAGTAAACATGGGGACATGGATTGTCCACACCATATATGAACCTAGCGAGGCTCCCCACATTGCAAAAAAGATAACAAGGTATAACATAGAAGTACTAGACTACGAATCTGCGAAACCACATGGAATGAATGTCGACTCTCAAAACTCTTAACTCGACAGTCAATAATCCACTCCGATACTGTCACCCAGACAACAACCATCAGCACACTGATTTTTTCAGTCCCTATCATGATGTCCCCAACACCCTCGAAGGCTCTCTCTCTCTCCCTCATACAGTGACTACCAATCTCCTCCCACACGATCATAACACCAAGGCTCAACTCAAAAGGAAGGAAAGTCACAATCATACAATACTACGATACCCACCTACAAATAATGCACATCGAGAGAACAACAAGCAATTCTACAGACAACTGCAATCAGTAATAGACAACACCCTACCCAAGATGGCAACATACAAACTCTAATGGGTGGACTGACATGAATGTCTAACTAAGAGCGGATAACACAAGAAGAGAACTCACCATGGATAGAGAAACACTCGGTTAAATAATGAACGACAATGAAGAACTCTTTGCAGACTTCTTCACATCTAATGACTTGGTGATTGCAGGCACTGTGTACAAACACAACGATATTCACAAACCGAGTGACATGGATTTCATTTCACCACATGGACACACTACACTAAAAATCACATCAACTTCATCTCAATCTCAACAAAGTCCAAACATAGACAACCTACTGGACACAAAATCAACAAGGGGAAAACATGCAGGTTCACACACCACTCACTATTCAGTGCAAGGAACCTACCTCCAAAATCAACTTGAAAGCATTCAAACAACCTAGTCATGATAGACCACAGTTCAAGTTCAACACCTAGAACAGAAAATGAACCGAAGCACGAAACTACAAACGACATCCTCCAAATCAGTCAGCCATCACAAAAAAGTACGAGACACTAAGCAACATCCCTGTGGCAAACTGTGTGGAACAACACTGGAACTCTTCGAAAGAGATGTGGAAAGAAACCTGCACAACCTCATCAGCAAGGAAGAAGAAGAGGCAAGACAACGAATCGATCTCCACAGACACATGCAAACTCATACAGCAGGGACAGGAAGATGGTGAAGTAGAAGATAAATCAGTGCAAGGATGAACAACGAAAACACGAACTGAACACAACACAAAACACTACACTACACTACACTACACTGGACAAAGAAGTGAACAACAGTACACGGAAAGACAAAAGACACTTCGACGACTCACTCGCAAGTGAAGCAGAACAGGCTGCAGGCTGCTGAGACAGACCTGACAACACCACATCAAATAACAAAAATACTACCTGGGAACAGATGAAATCAATGAAAGATAGTGAAGGAAACCTAGTTAACAACAAAGAGGAGGAACATAGGAAACGATGCACCGATCACTTCAAAAAACTCTCAAATCGACACCACCTCCTCCACCTGAAACTCGTCCAGAAATACAACCAACAACCCAGCCACAGAATTACCAGTGAACATAAGCTACCCGACAACAGCAGAAGTCCGGAACCCCATAAAACTACTGAAATCCAGAAAAGCAGCAGGACCTGATGAAATCCCTCCACTAACACTGGAAACAGACGAACAGACATCAGCGGTGGACATGCTCACACCACACCACTATTGCAGAAGGTCTGCAACGAAGGAAACGTACCTGCCCATTAATTGGAAGAAGGCCTACCTTGTCAAACTCAAAAAGCACGGAGACATAAGTCTCTGCAATAACTGGCGCACAATCATGCTCCATCCCTGTCCACCCCAAGCAACCAAAATATTATCCCACATCATCCCGCAGAGATTAAAACATGCGCTGGATTCAAAACACAACTGTAAAAGGCTAGCTGGCTGGCTCGCTGCCTTCACGAACAACAAAGCATGTGCAGATCAAATTGCAAACTGTGCTACGCTACGCACCATCATAGAACAGAGCATAGAATCTCAGTCAACTCTCTACCTCAACCTCATCCATCTTCAAAAGCCCTTCGATAGCGTCGACCAAAAAGTAATTTGGCAGACAGCTGCTTCAACACTGCCGTTTAAGTGTCACAAACCTTTATCAACCTCATTCAACAACCATATGACAAAGTCACATCCCAAGTGATTCACAATGGAAAGCTGACTGATACCTTTGAAATGAAGACAGAAGTAAGACAACGCTGCCGCCTACCATCACCCATCATCTTCCTCATTGTGGTCGACTGCACCCGACTGGATTGCATCATGTAACAAACTGTGAGGAGCGAAAAGAAGATGGGAATACAATACGCCATTCGATCCATGAAAAGACACTAGAACATCTGGATTCCGCCCCCACCCACCCATGATCATTCATGTCCAATGACTTGTCGCACAAACTCGAAGATATACAGGCAAAAACCAACAAGTTGACAGAAGAGGCAGGGCAGCGAAGACGGCACTTCCTTCACGTGAATGTAGAGAAGACACAGGTGATCAAGATACCCAACCACCGCCACCACCAACAACAACAAGCACCATCAACAGGAGAGAACTAAAGCAAGTTGTCGCTTTCACCTACCCACCCAAGGCAGCATCGTCTCAACAACAAGCGGCCGCACACGCACAGATAAGGACATCAAAGCCAGGATACGAAAAACAGCAACACAGGCCTTCTTCAAACTGAAACCAGTGTGGAGATCTACTGCACTCAACACAACTCCACTACACTCAACTCCACTCCACTCAACATAAAGCGTCAACAATATCCGGATTTTCAACACTAATCCAAGTCAAGTCAGTGCTTCTATGAGATGGTTCAGAAACTTGGCGTGTCACGAAAAGCATTTCCAACAAACTACAGACATCCATCAACAGCTGCCACCTACACTCACTCAATACTGAAGATCAGATGGTCAGAATAATAAGAATAAGCAACAAAGAACTCTCGCTGGCTGGCTAGCTAGCTGGCAACGAACCAACCAGGAATCCATCACCCAACAAATGTGCAGAAGAAAGTGCACATGGATTGCACTAAGCATACACTGAGGAAACCATTCGGGAACATCACGCACCAGATCAGGCCCTCGAGTGGAACTCAAATGGGAACGACAAGTTGGGCGTCTCATCTGAGGGTGACATGGAGTAGATCATGTGAGGAAGAAATGAAAGCTTGTGGGCAGTCGTGGAGCCATGTTCAAAAGACTGTAGAGAACAGAGTGAAATGGCGACGTGCTACTGAAGCCCTATGTTCCACTAGGAACCCAGGGGATAAATAATAATAACAAATACTGTGTGCTTCATTAAATGAAGAAATTAAATCACCCAGCGTCAATAGAAACAATTGTCAAACCACGTCTCAGATAGTCCCATTGAAAATATAATACGTATGACAAATGGAAAGACAAAGTGAGAGGCTTAGTTCATGAATATAGGCAAGGATACACATTGATTATACTGATTGGTAAAAATAGAGACAAGACTGCATTCTAAGATACATAAAAACGTTATCATAAAGTTCATGATTGCCGCACCGATACATAAAGTGAGTGAAGACGTATTCATCTTTGACTCTGCTTTCAGAATTAAATGTAATTAATCAATGGGCGACTTCAAAGGCCACCTTGGCAACTGCTGAAGTAACCAATCAAGTTTCTGTATTCCGTCTTGAAATGTAGCTTTTCATAAAATATTGAAGCCTAATTGGCCATCTCAGAAGTTACTGGGGTGGCGTTTAAAGACACTTATAATCAACACCACACTAGTCTAACATCTACAGACAGTGATCATACCAGAACAGTATGTTGTGATGCGTACAAATAAACCCTTTATCTCGATTTTTTAATTCTTAGCTTAGCAATAATCTGTCTTACAATACAACTCGTAAACAAGCTCTTACGCTAACCTGTTAGCTGCACGTATAGAGTCACAGCTACTATATATCTGAGATATTTTATTTGGAGGTTTGTGGGGATTTATTTATTGACTTTAAGTTGATATTCATAGTAGACTGATATCAGTTAAAGAAACACCGGAAATCTGAGAGCGCTGAACTGCTGTTTCATCCTAGTGTGGGACTTCTCAGCAGTGCTCACCCATGATCCTTTCAGGGGTCCAATGATCTTTGATCTTCAATGATCCAATGATCTTCAGGTTCTACGGACAGCACGCTCCTGTTGAACCATTGGATCGGCATCCTGCGGTCTACATTTACTACTTCTGACAGTTCACGTTATAGCACAGCTTCCGTCCAATCCCATCGTTGAATAGCTGTCTTCGCATCCGATTTGGTTTGATCCACCAGTGACGACCCCTCATTACGACTTTAGGAATCTCACCTCGAGACAAGTCACTAATGAGCACTGGACAGTAATTCAATATGGAGGTTTCTGGGAATTAATTTATTGATTTCAGGTTGATATTCACCATAGACTGACATAAGTTGGAGAATTATAGAGATATTTCGTCATATCAGTAAGGTTATAGTTGATGTATGTTTTTTATAAAAAACTTATTTACTTATTGCTGCAAGCCATAAAGCAGTTAATTCGAGCACTTCAATAGTTCAAACTTGTTTAATATACTGCGACCCAGTGGCTCAAAGGTAACGTGTCGGCCACGGAACCTGAAGGTCCTGGGTTTGATCCCTGGCGGGGTTATGAGTGTGCACTACTGGGGAGTCTCATACTACGTGGAAACAGCTGCCCAGTACTTCTAGGTTGCCAATGGTTCTGTAACTGATGTCAGTCCACGATGAATATCAACCTCATATCTAAAATATGATAGATGGATGAAAGTGGAATACTTTAATCAGTGACCCACAACTAGTGCGCTTACTCGTTCCGTATCTATTTGCTTTTCTTTGCTGATCTTCTCTCCACTGCTTCGTTTAGAAGTATGTCGTTTTCCATATTGTCTAGTTGATAAATAAAGATACACAACCTTCTAATTTGTTCATCGTCACCTACATGACAAAATTTAGTGTCCGCTATATAAAGACATTAGACTAAAGAATGTGGAACATTCGAATAAGTGCTAACATGTTAGTTTATGACGGGTTTAAAGTATGTTGTATCGTGTGAATTAATGTTGCAATCACTGCCCACACCTTTAACTAACCTCTAGATAGTAGTAGTTTTCCTGCTTACAAATCATACAGACTTATCATCACAAGAGAATGACATCAGAAATACACCGGGTCTAGGCGATACTTATTAAATAGAGTACAGTACAGAATGATAGGTGTCACTATCGCATACATACATAAAATACACAAGGTTTCAGAAGTCGATTGAAAAACATAGTAAACATACGGCCAATTATTAGAAATGAGATGTATAATAAACACAGTGGGCATCATATATCTGACCGCTTGCGTAAGATGCACAACCATGAAATACAGACATGCTTAAATAAACATAGGCAACCTTTTTAAATGTAGAAATTAACAGACTGAAAGGAACAGCTGTTAGTTAAACATACTTTTATGTAAATGATTGTATTAAAATTAGACTAAGATAGGAAAAATAATAGAGAAATATGCTTTTTGAATTACAGAAAAAGATGACAATAAACCAAACTACAGGCTAATTTAGACAAAAATGTAAGACAAACTAATACCAGATGGTCGGTTACCAGTGAAATCAATAAAATTATGATAATTGAAAAACAAGTGGATCAAAACTACTTTGCTTGGATTAAATCAAAAGAATAGAAATATCTTTGCCATACTTAAAATAATCATGAAAACACTGAGGTTATTGATAGGAGATATTTTACTTTCAAATTACTTTAAGACTTCATCAAAATAAGGTGGTGGGTGTGTGTAAAATCGTTGGACATTCAAATAGGTTATCTAAGAAATATTGAGTCCTTTCATGTTTCTGATGTAAGTGTTCCATACTGTTTATTTTTTTGTTGTTACTTCGGAAAAAACAGTTATGCAGTAGTAGAATACTAATCATCTTCCAGATATAAGTAGTATAACTGCAGCTATATGAACTAATATCTCAAATATCATCAGGTCGTCTTAGTTACAGGCTATTGTTTACTAAAAACGACTTGTTGAAATAGATAAGTGTTAATCATACGTGAAAATTTTCGAAAAACTCAAAAGCGTATCAAATGATTGACTGCAGTCACATCAAATACCAAAAATATTTTTTTTTCCTAAACAACTATATTCAGAAAAAGAAAAGCTTACACGTAACATTCAAGTGTCCGCATTTTACATCAGTACAGTGAACTTAAAGTATAAAGGATAAGTAGATAGAGTAAAACACTTTTGTGAAACCACACTCTTGTCTTAAGAATGCCACCACTTAAAAAAAATTATAAACCTAATCAAAGATAGTCTAAACTAAGCGAATTAACTGCTTAACACTTTCAACACAACCAATTCAATATGATAAACATTTAAAATTGAATAGTTTACTTATGGCATCCTAAGAAATGAAATTTTATTAATCCATTGTCTTATAGGGGGAATTAAAATTATTTGCATGCAATCAATGTTATAAAAACTTACAATTTGTTGTATAATACTGAAAATGATAAAATGGATTTTCTGTATTCATCACATGACTTGCTAATTCACTTGGAGAAGTATAGATAAACTCAGGTGGATTGTCATTTATATCTAATAATTCAACTGTAACAAAAACTTCAGTTGTTCGTGGATTGAATTCACTATCAGATATGGTGACCTGAAAAAACACAAATGTACACATACAAATAGATGAAACTAATCTAAGTTTAATAAATAAATGATAGGAACCTCGCCTAGGTAAGTAATAAGCTAGTTACTAGCCGGTCCTAAAACCGGATAAAGAGGGAAGGTTCCGCATAGGGATACCAACCCTACACCGGAAAACCAATTGTATCACTAAAGAAACTTCAAAGCACAAACAAAATATAAAAACAAACTTATTCCATACTAGAATAGAAGAGACGAAATGACCCGAATTGGTGAAAACATTAGGGAAGCCTATCGGCAGACGTCTATCTTCTCTCCCGACGAAAGCGAAAGTAAACATGAGGACATGGATTGTCCACACCATGTATGAACCTAGCAAGGCTCCCCACATTGCAAAAAAAGATAACAAAGTATACCATAGAAGTACTAGACTACGAATCTGCCAAACCACATGGAATGAATGTCGACTCTCAAAACTCTTAACTCGACAGTCAATAATCCACTCCGATACTGTCACCCAGACAACAACCAAGCAAAATATAAACTACACGCACCATAACAGAATACAGCATAGAATCTCAGTCAACTCTCTACCTCAACCTCATCCATCTTCAAAAGCCCTTCGATAGCGTCGACCAAAAGTAATTTGGCAGACAGCTGCTTCAACACTGCCGTTTAAGTGTCACAAACCTTTATCAACCTCATTCAACAACCATATGACAAAGTCACATCCCAAGTGATTCACAATGGAAAGCTGACTGATACCTTTGAAATGAAGACAGAAGTAAGACAACGCTGCCGCCTACCATCACCCATCATCTTCCTCATTGTGGTCGACTGCACCCGACTGGATTGCATCATGTAACAAACTGTGAGAGCGAAAAGAAGATGGGAATACAATACGCCATTCGATCCATGAAAAGACACTAGAACATCTGGATTCCGCCCCCACCCACCCATGATCATTCATGTCCAATGACTTGTCGCACAAACTCGAAGATATACAGGCAAAAACCAACAAGTTGACAGAAGAGGCAGGGCAGCGAAGACGGCACTTCCTTCACGTGAATGTAGAGAAGACACAGGTGATCAAGATACCCAACCACCGCCACCACCAACAACAACAAGCACCATCAACAGGAGAGAACTAAAGCAAGTTGTCGCTTTCACCTACCCACCCAAGGCAGCATCGTCTCAACAACAAGCGGCCGCACACGCACAGATAAGGACATCAAAGCCAGGATACGAAAAACAGCAACACAGGCCTTCTTCAAACTGAAACCAGTGTGGAGATCTACTGCACTCAACACAACTCCACTACACTCAACTCCACTCCACTCAACATAAAGCGTCAACAATATCCGGATTTTCAACACTAATCCAAGTCAAGTCAGTGCTTCTATGAGATGGTTCAGAAACTTGGCGTGTCACGAAAAGCATTTCCAACAAACTACAGACATCCATCAACAGCTGCCACCTACACTCACTCAATACTGAAGATCAGATGGTCAGAATAATAAGAATAAGCAACAAAGAACTCTCGCTGGCTGGCTAGCTAGCTGGCAACGAACCAACCAGGAATCCATCACCCAACAAATGTGCAGAAGAAAGTGCACATGGATTGCACTAAGCATACACTGAGGAAACCATTCGGGAACATCACGCACCAGATCAGGCCCTCGAGTGGAACTCAAATGGGGAACGACAAGTTGGGCGTCTCATCTGAGGGTGACATGGAGTAGATCATGTGAGGAAGAAATGAAAGCTTGTGGGCAGTCGTGGAGCCATGTTCAAAAGACTGTAGAGAACAGAGTGAAATGGCGACGTGCTACTGAAGCCCTATGTTCCACTAGGAACCCAGGGGATAAATAATAATTATGTTAATATATTGATGATAGTTATGATAATAGCAACTCAGACACTCGTTGTACGTGTTTTGTACTAGACTATGAAAGATATCTACACTAACAAAAAAGTTAAAATCCACTCAGCAACCTTGTGCATATTTGTGCAGTAGATAATGAGCCACAACGATGTTGAGGGTCAATGATACTACCCGGCTGCCCAAACGTTGTTAGGAGGAGTGGAGTTCGAAGCATTGACCTCCACAGACGAATGAGCTACAGCTCCACACTGTTACAATGTTAAGGCTTATGATTCTCCTCGGTTATCCAGACTATTACAGATACAGCAGGATTCAATCCCGAAACCTATTGGTTGCATACTGAGTGGTTTAGCCAATGGGCTACATCTCTACAAATAACATTAGGAATAATAATAATCACAATCATTCAGAGAAGTGGAGTTTTGCGAACATGACCTATGTGAAAACAGTTCACATCAAAAGCGGAAATGACTAAACATTTCAACCGATTACTTGACTCTAGGTTAAGAATTATTTGGTAGCGTACGCCCCAATACCTGTTGTTAAAGAAGTTAGAACTTTCTAACTCATGAGTCTCCCTGACTTTTCTTATAATAAAACTTAATTTAAGTCTGCTATGGAAAGGTTTAAAAACGATTTTCTATAACGTTCAGTATTTCCTCATTGAAATGTATGTGTGAAAACCACCATAAAACAAGTCAAATCTGAAATCACAAAGTGAATACTATTTCTTAGTTACTGTTCACGACAAACTACATTGTACATATATTACACAAAAAGATATACGAGTTTCACATCAAGCGGTTCCGATGGTTACTGCAGATTCAGTTGTAAATAATCAGAACAATAATCTTCCTGACGGTATAAACATTGACCACCTAACAGTTACCATATGCCATGTAGTTTTTCACAATTATTTACTAAAGTGTGTTACCTGCAGTTCGATATGAATGACGAACCATCGTATCAACATTGGTTTTCTGCGTTTAAACATAAAGAATGTCGTAAAATAATGATGCAACTCAACAACCAAATATAATTTCATGATTTATGCTTCTTTGGTGTTTGTGAGCAACACTACCTATCCACTTAAACTTAGATAGATGGGGCGAGACTGGAATACATGACCCAATGGTAAAAGTCGAGTTCCTAAATAAATAAGCCACAGATTATGTGGAAATAAGATACTTAGGATACAAAATGTTGAACAGTAACCTATCGTTATGAAGATTCAATAACTCTTAAGACGCTGAAACACATTGTAATATTTCCAACGTTCAAGCATAAAAAATTTTTAACCACAGTACCATAGGGTTACCAAGTTATTCTACATCGCAACTTACCCCAAGATTTAATTCTACTTTCCCCGTATCTTTTAAAACTGCTTCGCGATCCAGAGAACGTTCTGTTGTTGACAGTATACCTAGTAATGTAAAGCGTACTGATACATCTAAATCATGAACATATTATCTAGTTTTATAAGAGTATAGTAACAAAAAAAAACATTCACTTTTCAATCTGCTTATCGCAGCCAAGCTAATTCAAATCGATGAAAATTCGACAAATAATAACAGGGACTCACCTGTGTTTATGTCTATTATAAAATGACCTTGAGGATCACCAGTCGTCAAACGATACTTTAAATTGGTTGCATCTTTATCAGAATCAGTGGCTGTGATATGCACTACGACAACATTGGCAGGGGAATTTTCAAACAGTTGACAGTGATAGTGTGGAACCTGTGCTACAGGGGAATGATCATTTTCGTCAATCACCTGTAATCCAAAGACATAACATTGTAGTAATCGGAAATACTTATGGTGGTATGAAATAACTTGTATATTGTAAGTATATCATTTCCCCCTAACATAATATTATTGACTGAATAGAGTGGAGGTAATAGTTCAGTAATGAATGAAACACTTACCAAGACAACTGGTATTCCCAACATCCTCATTTCACAAATCTTCATAATAGTAATCCGAGCATTAATCAATACTCGTAATCAACAAAAGCATAATTAGTTTCGATTCATACATTCGTATTTTATTTCTTAATGCGTACACTCAAACAATACTGTGACGAATTTACCTAACAACAAGCAGGAAATGTTCTACACTTCTATTAAGTTAAAAACAATTTGATACAAAAGAAAAGTCAGATAACACACAGCATTAGATAAATGCTTGAAATATAATTATACAATGATGAAGAATAACTCCCTACGGTGACTAGGCAAGACAATGAGCCAAGCCTGGTTACCTGGTGGAGGCTAGTGACATCACCCAGCTACCACTTACTAGAACAAGCAATTTCAAGTAACAGGTCCCGGATTTAAATAATGCTACGCTTACTTTAGTCTGGTAGGCGGGGTATAGTTAGCTTCTACGCAGTAAGTGGATCACACAGTCTAGCACATAAGATTAATATCAGATTGATTTGTAGGATATGACGAGCCTCAGTAGTGAGAGAGGAGTGCAAACCCAGACGTGGTTGGGTAAAGTTGACTGCATAAGCCACATCTTCACTCAACTTTAACCATAAAAAGAAGTCAACGGGATAGGACAATTGAAGATTATTGATGCAAACATTTGCGGATTTTTATCTTAAAAAACGCTGAAAAAGTTCTAATGATGCAGCTCACCATGGACGGTAAAAGTGTTAATTTACTAAGCTATGAGTAATACCTGTTGTGTGAAAGTTTACGTTACAACCATGTCATCTAAACTGAAGTAGGAGGAGAGGGGTTCGAGCCCAATAAGGAACTGCCGTATACACCAACACAAAGTTAAATTAGTAGAGATTGCAGCATCTACAGGGTATTGGTTAGCTGGCAGAACACCGATATGAACAAACATATATTATTCAAGTTCAGAGATACTTGAAATAAAGCTACTTTAATTTCAAGAAATTCCGGTTTCAGTTTTAAAAAACCCACTTTTAAGCGAAAAGCAATGCTGAGAAATATGAATCACATAAAGACAAAACGGTGAAGACTATTTGCCAGAAAATCATTTCTAGCAGCTGTAAAACATCAAATTTATCTACAGTTCAACGGGATTAAATTGACGATAGAAGCGTTTTGAATCCATTGTAACTTTATAAGAAACTGTAATTGCTAAGCAAGTGTAATAGACACTAAACTTCTCCCACATTTATCAATCAGAAAATTAAATTTATGATAATGTTAACCCAAAAGTTTAATAATACAATCCGAAAGATTTACGAAAACGGGGTTAGTATCTCACTTGCTGTATATTCGAAAGTTCTTTAGTTCTGGAATTGATATGCACAGAACCATCAACGATCCAAAGATTGAAAGTGAATCATTCCCTGTTTTAAGGGGACTTAACAGGTACTGTTTGATTGGTGAGTGCACAGCTGTACCTAACTAGTTTAGACAGTCAACTTCCACTTTGAAATTCGCTCTATCTATCGATGTCTAGATAAGTTTAGACCCTCACAAGAAATGCAACTCAAAACTTAGTATACAAACCAGAACACAGACAATGAGTCACATTAATTATTATTTACTTCCTAAGATTTTCCAATTACTAGAGTGTGGTGCACACAAACTATGAGTAACTACAGAACTACTTCTTTAGGCTGGTTTTGAAATGTCAAAAGATCGGTAGATGTTTCCAGACAAATTCCATTGACAATCTTGACAAGAAAGAAGGAGAATTCATCAATATATTGTCCGATTATAAGACAGACTTGGTTTCCAGAGTAGAAGCACATTATGTAATGAAGAGGAGAATGATAGCTACTTGTGAAATACAGAAGTCAGACTTTCGACATATTTTGAGCTATCCATATAACATACAAAAATAATTTACTATTAAAATATTCGAATTTCATTTAGACATAATTTAAACAAACTTAAGTAGTCTACTTCAGAAAAACGAATGATTGGAAAAAGCTACATTAAAACTCACGTTAAGTAGCAGCCTACAGCTAGTAATAACCATATAATAGCGAAATTAATTCAATAAACAATTCTCAATGGATGTACACATAGATGACATTCAAAACTAATTCGAGCATTGAAAACTGTTAACATTAGTTAGACGATCGATGAAGATGACAATAACAGTAAACGAAGATACTTCAGTACATAAAAAACTTACCTCAATAAATAGTTCTGCAATAGCATGCAGTGGTCCACTAGATGCAGATGATATTGTAAGCGATTCTAAGCTATCGGAATTAGACTTTAAGTAGGTGGAACGGTGCAACGACTCGATCGCGTAAACAACCAACCAAAAGCCACCATCGTCTTGTACAGCCTCAGCATCTATTTCTTTCGTGCTGAGTACAAAACCTTAAAACCAACAAAAGTAATACGTAGTGAACACATTTAACAGGAAGGGAATGAAAGCAATTCAATTAAACTCCTTACAACCCTACATATATACATAAGCACATCAAATATTCGACATAAACTACTAAAGACGAAAAACTAACAATACATCAAAACACATGTACTGATGACAACAGCCTAGTCATCAAACAATGAAGCGTTTTTGGAAAATTTGGTTAAGCCATAAGACAAGATATGTAAGGATACAACAGAAGAACTACGATAAACTGGATAATGATTTGATACAGAGATTCCACAAGTTAACATCGCCTATTCGCATATTATCCTACACATTGACAGTAAACAAATGAAACATCCATCGACAGGAAGTTATAGAAAATATCTAGAATGTTGAAAAGAATATATCTCTAACATATTAGAAACCCACTTAGTTGTTGTAATCCATTCAAGTGGCATTTTAAAAAAGATAGACATGAATGACGTGGTAGAGTATTCCTATCCAAAATCAACATGATTGAACACATACAATAAAACAATTCATCTAGACGAATATGATACTTAGGCTACCAGGTAACAAACAGTTGTTTTTAATAAATCCTACAGAGACCACAATTCACCGCAGAATTTCACTGTACCATTCTTATGAGTTTGGAAATGGAAGTGAACAAAATCTGAATCCTTCTCAGTTAATGTACAATGCAAAATAACGAAAACATTGAAAACTGTTGTATAATGCCGAATGTTTCAGAAAGAATAGTACAGCTTAATGGACCACGATTTAGTAGTAGACTATTAAAAATAGCAGTATAATAAGGAACATCACTCTTGAAAAGCGGAACTAAGAAGCCTCCTGTAATTGAAACAAATAAGAAAAAAGTAAAAATGTGTAACAATTTAAGATGTCCGATCAGATCATGAAATATATGGGGGAACAATATAAGCAACTACGAGTGAAGAAATTATACTTTCAGGATAGCTGTGAAAATCCAAAAGGGAAAGTACAACTTCTGAAATGGTTTTTTCACTAAAGTAAGTGTTTATCTGTTGGTTTCTGGGCCTAGCTGGCACAGATCACCTCTGAACAATAACTATCTTCATATTAGAAATATCCAATCCATAGTTGTTACAAATGTGCTGGAAGAATTTGAGCGCCGAGTCTGATTTCATTATCTGAATATTTCGCTGAAGAAGCTATGGCATACACATACTAGAATTAAATTTAAACTTGCTTTCATAACCATCATCTTCATTCTGTCAACTTTATCTTTCGTGTTCGAACGGTTAGTGAATTCTTATGTTTCGTACACTAGATAGAAAAAGTATGAACACATGTACGTAACTGTAGGTTATATATAAATTCTTATTACTTCGTTTCATGGCTGCAGATTACATGTGACATGGCTTAAAATATATCCCACTGGCGTAGATACAACATTTATTGTATTTTCATCTAAGTTGTAATATCATAAACCATAATTTACTGTATCTGATAAAGCTTCACCATTTTCGTCTTCAGTTTTGTTGACTTCCATTTTAATGTGATATAAAGTGTAGTAACTTCAATCGTTGTGCAACAATGCTGGGCCCTAAATTGTTCATATCAGCTTTGATTCTGATATAGTGAAGCCATAATCTTCATGGTAAATGCCAAAATAAACATTCACCAGTCTATGATACTGACTACAATTTATCAGTTTAGATCAAGCGATCAGATGTAGATTAAACAACAATGGATCATCACTACCGTTGTGAACTCCATGTTTATCTACGAAAGAATTAAGCGGACATGATCGATGTATTTCGGTCAAATTCAAAAACCAACCAGAAAGAAGTATGGTGCCATGTGTCACTCATTTTACTCCTTCAGTAACAATGTTTAAAAAAGTTATTTTGATAGACAAATATAGACTAGAATGACGAAATATAGCCACGAAGTCATGAACAAAAAGCAATGCAGAGGAGATTTTTTTCTCCATAATATCGTTTAATAAAGCTACACAATCGTATAAATGAAGCACGAGAAATATATAAGTGCAAAACCAGCGGAAACAGCCGTTTGGATAGAATAACACATATACATTTTGTCTCGAGACTTCTCATCAGCTACTCGCAACCTAAAACCATCTTAATATCAATCCATGCTAAATGCCTACATTCTAATACGAAATTATCAACCTGAAGAAACAATAACAATGATATAACGTAAGTGAAGACACATGAAATGAGTGAATAATATACAATATACAATAAGTTTGGCAAATATTGGATGCTGAGTAAAAGGTTGAGGAATAATACAAAATATTTGTTTATTTTGTTATTTGTTCTAATATACTACGCCGGGATTACACAAGTAAAACTACATCCTATACAATAAAAGGTTGATTGATATTAGATACAGGTTGTATTTGTGTAAGTCACAGTGTGTTTGAAATATCTGATAACAATAAGTTTGTCGATATATAGAAAGATTCAACCAATATTCTAGAATGGAAGTTGGACAAAACAGAAATACATTTGGACCACGGTAATAGTTTTTTTAAACTGTTATTTTCTACCCCTTCCCCCTCACTCACTGTGTCACCTGTTGTCCAATGAAATGTCCCATGTTATTGGTTGCATGAAATCCAAAGGTAAAATAAAAGGGAGTAAACTGAGGACGGGTTGCTTCGTTTTCATGATAAGCGACGATACTGTCCAAAGTGTTGTAACCGAAAACGAATCGATGTTTATGGAGCGTTTTTGTCTCACCGCGTTTCTGTCCTTAGAGTCTGTGAAGGTCGCCCTGAAGGAGTATGAGAAACAGACGTACACACACTACGTTGTGCGAGACTCACATTTGCAAGGTGACCGAAGAGCTTACATTAAGTTTGTCCGACAAAACAGGGGGGAGACAAATGTATTCCATAAGTTGAGAAAGGTTAAATGAAGTATGTGAAAAAGGGTCAGAGGATTTACGTTAGCTAAGAAAATAAAATGACTAGACTTCAGACAATAAGGTCAAGTGAGTGAAATAGAATAACAATGAAGGTAAGTGAATCGATAACGATAATAATGCGTAAAAATCACCATAATTATGGACGACACAAAATTTTACCATGGTAGGCACAGACTGGTAATTATTTTTTTGAATACATAAGTTTGGTTTTGATCGTTAATAGCTACTGCTTCAGAGAAACGCAACAAATTCAAATTCACCTGTTTGTGAATTATTTCGAACGATTTCTGCATGTTAACTTCCTATCTACTATCAATAAGGTGACGAATAATAGCACTGTTGAAAACTTTCCCACTTCTGGGTCGCAAATTCCTCGGAATGGCTCAGACTTATGATGAAAAACCCTTCTTTCTGTTCGTCCGATGTAGATACTTCGGCACATACATGTAGATTGGTATATGCGGTTGGAACCAACATGATGGGGTGTTTGTCAACCTTTAATTCTCTCAGTGAGCTATTCATTTGATGAAGCGCGATTAACCTAGCACCTGGATAAGTCCTTTATTAAGACAGCATTTATTGTTTAACTAATTTGAACGTATCTTGACCAACAGTGGACTGGATGGTTTGGAAAAACTTGGGCACCGAGTTAGTTATGATTCGTCACACATAAGTTGTATTTTACTTATGTGATCCCGGTGTAGTATATTAAAACAAATAGCAAAATATTTTGTTTACTGAGGTTATTGGGGATTTTATGTTTAAGATAACATTCATCACGGACTGATATCAGCGGATGCCAACTGAAGACCTTGGGTGATAGTCACCTTTTATCGCGAATTCACAAAAGTAGGAAATTGTGAACCACTGAATTTCAATCCAGTGACTTAATGGTAACCGCCTTCGCCTTGAGTTTGATCCCTAGCCAGGTCGTGGGTGCGTACTGCTGTGGAGTCACATATTAGGACGAAATGGCTGTCCAGTGCTTCCAGGTTTTCAGTTGCCCTCTAAGTGATATCAGTTCGTGATGAATGTTACCTTAAAATTATTTTGTATTATTCCTCAAAGTTTCTATCTTGCTAGGATTATCCTTTTCAAGAGTATGAATCGGACATGAAGTCTTGAGGTCAACATTCAAGTTTAGTACAGAAGGTAACCTTTATGATCATTCAGTTACATCGTGATATGAAACAAATATCAATGTAGTGTTTGTGAGTGAACTAGCAAAACGAACCGCGAAGCTTTTCCCATTTGTGCAAATAAGGTAGGACAAAAATAGGGTGGGAAATTTCGTTCGACTGTGAAAAGTATAGTGGAGATGTGTCATCAGGGAGGAAAAAAATAAATTAATATTTTAGAAAGATGACTATTTGAAAATTAGTGTATAATAATTAATGATGACGATAATAATAATTAATAGTGATAACGACAAAAGTACTTATGATAACAGTTGAAGTATGAATGATAACAAAATGGATTGTGTAAGATAAAGAATGGTTCATAGAATGTATGTAACTCAGAAAGGAGCGTAAAATTAATGATGTAATTATTTCTTTCAGGAACATCACCTTTGAAACCAAGACTTAGCAAAACAGATTCCAATTTGACCGCATCACACCTCCCACTTTCTTTGTTATAATCTCGTACTTATCGATGAATTTTCATTCCCATGACCAGACAATAAGTCCGAAGTCTAGTCATTTTATTTTCTTAGCTAACGTAAATCCTCTGACCCTTTTTCACATACTTCATTTAACCTTTCTCAACTTATGGAATACATTTGTCTCCCCCCTGTTTTGTCGGACAAACTTAATGTAAGCTCTTCGGTCACCTTGCAAATGTGAGTCTCGCACAACGTAGTGTGTGTACGTCTGTTTCTCATACTCCTTCAGGGCGACCTTCACAGACTCTAAGGACAGAAACGCGGTGAGACAAAAACGCTCCATAAACATCGATTCGTTTTCGGTTACAACACTTTGGACAGTATCGTCGCTTATCATGAAAACGAAGCAACCCGTCCTCAGTTTACTCCCTTTTATTTTACCTTTGGATTTCATGCAACCAA